TTTTGGGGTTCATATATAGAATCCTACAAGGTAACCCCAAAAAGGAACTACTATGGGGTATATGGGTAGAGTTTCAGGGGTTTGGGGCTTAGGGTTTAGGGTGCAGGGTTTAGGGTTTAGGGTTTGGAGTTTCAGGGTTTGGGGGTTTTAGGGTTGAGGCTTTTAAGCTTTAAGGTTTAGGGCTTGCGGGTTTTAGGATGTTTCAAGGCATGTGATCCACATCATAATCCTTTTATCAAGCGAGGCGGATTTGCTTGTGTAGAACAGACTCCGACATGGCCACCAGAAGTTTCCAAGAACTCTGGGTTTAGGGTTTAGGGTTTAGGATTTAAGGTTAACCCTAAACCCTAAGCCCTTGCGAACTGCCACTGGCGGAACGTTAAGAACCTTTGATGCTTGGGGCAAGACCGGGCAAGACAAAGATAGGTCATCGACCCTAAACCCTAAACTTCCCTAAACCCTGAACCCTAAACTTCCCTAGACCCTAAATTTCCTTTAACCCTGAACTTCCTTGAACCCTGAACCCTAAACTTTCCTAAACCCTACAAGCCTAAACCGCAAGTTCAACACGAACCCGGACCTTGTCTAGGAGTTCGGATTAGGGGGACGCTTGGGGATATAGACCCTGTCAATAAGGTCCCTTGTAAGCGAGCCAGAAGTAGGGTTAAGAGGGGTCCCCTTTAAGGGGTCTCCCTAAAACCGCCTAATATAGGGGCCTAAACAATTACCTATTTCTATTTTGGGGGTTCCTTCTTATAATTATTCATATAATACACCCCAAAACTCTATTCTAAGCATTTAGGCCCCTACATTAGGATCATCACAACCGGATCAACGCTGGACTCGCGCAGAAGCCTCTAAGAGCCCAGAGGCTTTAGGGTTTAGGGTTCCTGTCTTCAGCCGCACTTGGAAAGATCTCCCTTGAAGCATCGATAATGTAGGGGCCTGAATAATTAGAATAGGGCTTTGGGGGTTCCTTTAAAGGGTTCCTGAAAGGGTTCTATAAGGGCTACTATTGTAGGGTTTAGTTAGGGGGCTTAATAATTAGAATAGGACTTGGGGGTATGTTTTACTATACCTATAAAAAGGAACTCCCAAAAAAGTATAGGTAATTCTTAAGGCCTCCATATTATAGGGCTTGGGGTTTAAGGTTGTAGGGGACTACCTCCTGTATAGTCCTTATATTAGTCTCCCGCACCCCCTTACACAATATACCCTCATAGTCCCAATGCAGATAGTATCTTATCATCCTCTTTATATAGCATCCCTTTTGCCAGCAACAAGACCTGCAGCAAAAGTAAGCCGCTCAGGTGGGAAACTTTCCAGGCAGGCGTATTTTGTAAAGTATTGCCAGTGCTACTAACAATCGCAATAATAGTGCTAAGAATAACAATGATAATACTAGCAGTACCGAACTTGACAACGGTGATAATGCTGGTACGACCTCCAGTCACTCCAGTCGAAACCGTGCCTCAACCTGGAGCCTATGCACATCTACATAATATATATATATATATATGTGTATATATATATATATATATATGTGTGTATCTGTATATATGTATATGTATTTGTACATGTACATGTACATGTACATGTATATGTATATGTATATGTATGTGTATATGTATATGTATGCATGTATGTCTGCATGTATCTCTCTTTATATCTATGTTCTCTATATGTATGTATCTGTACCTAAGTACATCGATATCTCTGTGTCGTATCAGCACCCTAAACACTACACCCTAAACCCTAAACCCTAAATCCTACACCCTAAACCCGAAACCCCAAAGCCCTAGTCGTGAGCCCTAGTCACCCAGGGCAGGGGCCGCATCGTTGCTCCTCGCCGGCTTGCGGTCTCGGCGCAATCGGCCTGGGACTTTGCTTTCTGAATCTTGGGGTCTCCGCCAAGCTTGAGGCAAACACCGGTAATATAGGGGCCTGAATAATTAGTATAAGGTTTGGGGCTGTATTTTATAGTATACTTGTAATAAGCCCTAATAATTAGTATAAGGTTTGGGGGGGGTATGTTATAGTATACTTGTAATAAGGAACCCCAACAAACATTTGCCCCAAAGTAGTATTGGCAATTATTGAGGGCCCAATGTTAAGGCTTTAAAATGGTCCACGATGCTCTGGGCAGCAGGAGCGGAAGTTTAGGGTTTAGGTCCTAGTTGTTGTTTTCAGGTGTTGCGGTTTCCGTCTGATATGGATTTATCTGGGCGCAGCCCCGCGAATTTTTCGGGCTGCAGGTATGCAGCGCTCTTCTCTGACCGAAACAATGCTTCAGAACTCAACTCTCCCGCATCCTCCAAACATGAACCGATGAGCCCTAAACCTGAGGCCCAACTGGAATGAACCCTAAAGGTTTAGGGTTTAGGGGTTTAGGGGTTTCGGGGTTTTGGGTTCAGGCCCTACACCCCAACCCCACCGGCAAAAGAGCAGAAGGAACCCCTCAGACGCCCGCCGGACAACAGGGAACGGTACAGCTGCAGCCTGTGAGCTTCGCTTCGTTCAAGGAAACTACAGGTGGGGAGTTTAGGGCATATAGGGCTTCTATAAGGCTTCCATTTATAAGGTATATAGACCTTCCATAAGGCTCCTATAATGGTAACTACCCACCTGGAAATGTCCTAGGGTCGCTTCAGCCCGGAGGTTCCATTCCCGGGGGTCTAATAAGTACCTATACTCTGTTGGGGGTGCCCTAGAAGGGTTCTTTAAAAGGGCTCTACAAGGGCTACTATAAGGGTTTAGGGTCTATAGGTTTAGGGTTTAAGGGATAGGGGCCGAATTGCCGTTCATTATTTTGTTGTTTTGTTGTTGGGGTGTGTCCTTATTATACTAAGGTATAATGAATCCCAAAACCCTATTTTAATTATGACTTTAAGGCCCCTGGATTCTTGTCTTGTCGATCCTATGAGGGTCCGATATGAGGGGCGGATTTAGACTTTGTGAAGGCTTCACAAGGTTCTGAAGGGATTTCCTAAAGGTTAGGGTCTGTCTATTCGGTTCTATGAGGGTCCTATTGAGGGGCTCCGTTTGGGTTCTGGAACGATTCTGCAAAAGATAGGGTCTATCTGTTCTGCTTTATGGGTGTCCTAGAAGAGTTCCATGGGTTCTAAGAGGGTTCTATAGATTCTATAACCGTGGGAGCTGGGGTGTAGTGGCACTCAAGGCTTACAGGCACAGCGGCATTGTGGGTTAAGGCTCCGGGGATAAGTCTAGCTAGAATATCCTAAGCTTTTCAAGGATAGGGCACACAGTATATCCGAAACCCAAAACACTGATTCAACCCTAAACCCTGAATCCAAAAACCCTAAGCTTTAAGGGATATCGACTTTGAGGGATAAGGGTATCCGGCTCAGGATTCAGTTCGCAGGTTTCGTTGTTTGCGTTCAAAGTGGCTCTAGGTCCGACAACTCTCAACCTCAAAAGGTTGAACTTCTAGTCTATGGGTAGTTTTCTAAATTAGGGTCCTTTTGGGGGTCCTTTTTATAAGGGTGCCGTACTATATTGGGGACCCAAAAAAGGACCTTAATTTAGAGAACTGCCCCTATACCTTATGCAGGGTTTAGTGTTTAGGGGTTACGGTTTAGGGTTTAGGGATGAGACAAGCCACCAGAGAGGACACCCCCAAGACAAGCCTGAGAAGCTGAACCTGCAAAAATAACTAAATCGTGACCTTTGTTTAGGGTTCAGGTTTTGGGTGTCGGGTTTAGGTTTTAGGGCTTTAGGGTTGAGGTTTGGGTCTCTTTTTAGTTATGGCGTTTCTTTTTTACATGGTTTTGAATTCAACCCAAAACAGCCCTACATCCAAGAATCCTCCTTCCCGAACCCAAAGCCCTAAACCCTCCACACCCCCTCAGCCCCCTTCCCCTCATAACATAGGGGCCACTCAAGTCCAATAGTATAGCCCAAACCCTACATTCTAATTACTAAGGCCCCTATAGTAAACAAGCAGAACGCAACATCCCCTAAGCGCAACTGTCAACAAGATGGATGACTCTGGTGTCTGCAAACTTTAAGCTGTTGTGGGTTAAGGTTACGGGCTTAGTACAGGGGTCTTAAAAACTATAACACGATATAGAGGTATAAAGCAGTATATGTATAATCAGGATTCATACAGATAAGCCTCCTGCGAAAAGAGTATCACGCATTGTTCTGTTTTTCGAAGCCTTCACAAGCTGAAACTTCACGTTGTCTTAGCTCCGTCGTGTTGACAGGTTGTTGTGCAAAGTGGCAGATCCCACTTGAGGGGTGCGTTGCAAAACCGAAGTCGTCCCTCCGCCTGGCTTCGTACTTTATGGCCTAGAACTTCGGTTAAGGTCGGTAGCCATGCCTGAATAATCCCAATCCTCAACCCTCAACCCTAAACCCGAAAATCCTAAATCCTATACCCGTTCGCCTAAACCCGATATCTCTGCCATGCTTACTCTGATGCCTTTGGCATCTCAGAGAGCAGGCGATTGAAAGTCAAGGCGGGGGCTCAAAAGTTATCGGATCCCCACGGGGACAACATGGCGGTCCTGAAGCCGTAGGTAATATAGGGTTTAGGATTTAGGGTATACACTTACTTGCATATTATAATAATGATAATGAACCTATGCATGCAATGGTGAGAGAGAGAGAGAATATGTGTGTGTGTGTGTGCTACTGTAGAAAAGAAGTTAAAGCGCGGCTATGAATACTACTGCGCAAGCATCGACGAGCAGCAAAGAATCCATAAATAACATCAACATGTTTCCCGGTCTTCTTGGCTCAGGTCCTTCCGTTCTCCTACAGGCTACTTAGAGACAAAGCTAGGCGTTGCCTGGTCAGTCGCTCCTTCTCCAGCTGCTCTTTCAATGGCTGCACGATCTTTTCCACTTGAGACGCCACGACCTTCTGCACCTCCAAGCGGAGGGCGGGCGTAAGTTTGCTGAGGCCCGAGCCGGAGGCCGACTTGGAGGAGCTCCGGGAGGCCGCCGCGCTGGCAGGACGGCGTTTGGTCTCTGGCTTGAGCTCCTTGGGCTCCTGGCTCTTGGGCATGGACTTAGCGCCCGCACTCTGCGGGCGCAGGGAGTTCGATCGCTCGAGATGCAAGGCTGACATCATGATCTCCTTCCTGTTGTACTCATCACATGTTGCACGGCAGGGATGTGCAAAGGGAGGGCGAGCCCACTCTACTTCTCGACACTCAGGCTCAGTGCGATTGAACAAGCGGTAGGCGGGAGCACCAGTGTTCCGTCGCCTTTCCCTTACGATATCATCTTCAGCAGTAAGCTTTGGACGGCTCCGTCGGATGAAATCGCTTTCATGCGACCTCGCCTCTGTTTGGCTCTTCCGCTCCAGTGCAGCACTACTATGGGCTCCTAGGAACTTCTCGACATCCCGCCTCTCTATATCCCTGTTCATGCACTTGGCTTGCCTGGTGATGTCGTTGATGTCGCCGAATCCCTTGCGGTGGTTCCGGCAGACGCTCCCGATCACGTGATTCTTATCTCCCACCGAATCCATACCGCCACGCATCGTTGTCATGGCGTTTAGGCTCCCACCCTGCCGGCAGCACCGAGCCTTGCAGAGCCTCACTCTACTTCAACCCCTTCCCTTTTGATCCGGGATGCAGCGCCAACGACCAGGTGCCGAAAGCGAGGCTTACCGAAGCCGGTGGCTCCATTTTAAAAGACACACGCTAGGTTACTAACCATGCCATACTATATGAAACCTGGTAGCCCGCTATTTACGTAACTGGAGCGCTAGACCAAAAAGCAGCCTTCTTGGAGACAGGGCCATGCACAAAGATACCCGACTGTGTGTTTGAGGTAGCTGTGGCCTCCAGGAAATTCTGGCGGTGTTAAGAGGATTCAGGGTCTAGAGGTGTTATATCACAGGATTCAGGGTTTAGGGCTTCGGTTTTAATTTTAGATCTCAGGGTTTAGGGATTAGCCTGATTAGGCATAATTGGAGTTTAGGATTTAAGGCTTCATCAGGAAGATCTGGCGGATCTACGGAGGCGTTGGTGGCTGAGTAGGGTTCGGTGATGCATTGTCGGAATGGCTCAGACATGAAGGAAGTGAGAACTCCTAAACCCTGAACCCCTAAACCCTAAACCCCCAGACCCTAAACCCCAAGCCCAAACCCCTAAACCCTAAACCCCTAAACCCTAAACCCCCAGCCCAAACCCCCAAAACTGCACAAGCTCTCGAATCACTCTCCTTTATGCGGCCACGGAAACCTGAAGCTTCTCAACTCAGACTACTTGGAGGTCCATGGGTAGCTATAACTAGGGTTATAAGTAGGGTAACTATAATTCTAACCCATATTGGGGGACTTATAACCCCACTTACAACTACCCATAAACCTCCAAGTAGTATAGGGGCACAATTAGAAAGGGGTTTTGGGGTGCAGCGTACTGAACGAAGGGGCGAGCAAAGAGAAGCAGGGTGACAGGTGCCGTTAAGCTCTAAGCTTGTGAATGATACGGGGTTTTGGGGTATACTATACTACAATTATAACAGGGGGTTTGGGTTTAGGATTTAGGGTTTGTCTTTCTACAATTATTAAAGGGAACCCCCAAAATAGTCTTCGTTATTTTTTAGGCCCCTATATTCACCCGCCTTAAAACAACTTTCCGGAAAGAAAGCGGAGTGCCATGGAGCCTCGCCAGCCGCTTGGACACGACCAGCCGTCGCCAGGGCATGCGCTGTGGCGGAAGCACGCAGCCAACAAGTGTAGGGCTGCTTTATATGTAGGTGCAGGGCTGCTTATATGCGTTTCTCCCTTATTTTTTGGGGGTTTAGGGTTTACCGATAGTCTCCATTGTGGTCCTGGTGTTGGTTAAAGTAACTTTAGAGTTCGAATCCTACAAGGAAACCCCACAAAGGAACTACAATGGAGACCACAGGTATAGGCTTTAGGGATTTTCTGACGGGGGTAGGGCAGGAGTTGGGAAGCAAAAGGTTTGGAGGCTAAGTCTCGGGTGAAGCCCCGAGGATTCCACAGCTTAGGTTTTATTGTTTAGGTTTTAGGGTTTAGGGTTTAGGGTTGGTGCACCTTAATGGGGCCATAGAGCTTGAGGGCTCTGGGGTTTTAGGGTTTAGCGGCTTGGTCTCCTGAAGGCCAGAAGTGCAAGATGTTCAACCTGCCAAACCTTCTACTCAAAAGACTCAACCCCCAGACCCTCAAGCATCCACACCAAAACTAAAACCCCAAAACCCTCGACCAGGCTGAGAACCCAACATCGATACAACCACGCCAGGACCATGATCGGGGACCGTAACCCTTAACCTAAACCTGGAATCTGATTTTCGACTGTACTGAAGCATAGTGTAGGGGCCTAAACAATTAGAATTGGGCTTTTGGGGCCCTTTATAGTATAGTTATAAGAAGAAACCCCCCAAAGAACATAACAATTTAGGCCCCAATCTTACCTCTTTCCAGGACTATAGCAGAATTATTCCGACCCCTCATAGTAAACTGCAGCTGGGTCTTCCTTGCAAGATGCCGGCAAAGCTTCCCTAAAGGGCAATGCCGGTCAAAAGCTCCGCGTCGGGTTGTTTCAGAGTTGAGGGCTGAAGAGTCTAAAGGCTGTCAAGGTCTTCGGGTTTTGCGCTAAGCTCAACTCCAAACCCGACCCAGAACCTAAACCCTAATCCCCAACCTCAAAATTACTGCAGTCATGGGCTCGAAATCAAAAGATGATGGGGAGGTTCGGGCAGACTCCCACAGCTTAGATAGCAAGCTCTGGAAATTATCGGGGGCCCGAATAGCTTGAATGGTGTCTTGGTGTGTTGACAATGGGAACTGGAACTAGAGACGGGAATCCCGAGGAATAGGATGTGTAATTATTCAAGCTTGTGAAATGCGGTTTTGATCCGATCCTTAGGGCCCTGACTACGGGTTCCGAAAGGAACCTAGCTGCAACTGCAGCAGGGTGCTTTGTTTAGGCTCTTCCCTGAACCCAAACCCTGCGCCCTAAACCCTTAGCCCGTATGCTTGAGGGTTGGAGGTCGCACGGCGAGGTTCACTAACTCTCCCAGAATCCCAGAACGTGCAAACATGGCCACGCTTGTTTTGTGGCAGAGCGAAGCCACTGGTATATTCTCTCTGCCTACAGCAGTGCTAAGTTAAGCAAACGCTTCAATACACCTTAAGGACATGCAGTTTGAATACCAAAGTTCTCGCCTGCTAATGGTACGATTCATACAAACACGGATCATACCTGCACTGAGTCATGCAAGCATTCCACTCTTCTGTATCAAAGACGGCCAAAGCTGAGAGGGGAATCCGGCCCTGCACACAGGAATCTTCTCGATGCTCTCTCACCAGAGCTCGGATCACCGCCACCTGCTGCTGCCTGCCTCGTTCTTGTGGCTCGGGGCAGGCCCTGATTAGAGCCTGCGCATGAAAAGCTTCGCAAAGGCCTTCTTTCGGTGTACGTAGCTGGTATAGGCTCTAGGGTTTAGGTTTTAGGGTTTAGCGGGTAATTCTAGTCTTGGCATGGGGAACAACTGAACTTACCTGGAACGCATGAGCTCCGTTGTCAGACAGCTAACCAGCTGACACGATTTGCAGGAACGGGCTGAGGAATTACGCCCTCCCTAAACCTAAACCCTAAACCGTAAACCCTAAACCCTAAACCGTAAACCCTAAACCCTAAACCCCTAAAACCCTAAAGCCCTAAACCCTAAACCCTAAAACCCTAAAACCCTAAAGCACTAAAATCCTACACCCTAAACCCTAAACCCCAAAACCTACCCCAACTCCGAAGCTGGCCCCAAGCCCCAAACCCCAAAGCAGGCCTTTACAGAATAAAGCAAAGCGCTCGTGCGAGCCACTCAGGTTCTTTGGAGGCTCTCGGCCGCAACTCGACTCTAGAGAGATTACTATCGCTACTCTCTTATGATTACCGGATTACCAGCTGAGGGTTTAGGACATTCGGATTTGAACGAACAGGGGAAGGCACATAACTCAACCTGTACACACAGTCTGGCGCAGCCGGGAAGAAAGCTTAACTCAATAAGAAAGACATGAACAGGTATGCAAGGTCTACATTGCCAATGGTTGTCCAGCCGAGCCGCAGTTCGTCTTAATATGCTCGTTTCAATAAACAGTTGAACTCCGAAGCAAAAACTCTTAACCCTCCACGAAAGCCAAGTGTTGCTTCGAGCCGATCCCTGACGTTCTAACCCACAGGCACACACCCGTCTCTTACTACATCTTATATATGTACACAAGCGAATACATTTTACATACATATATATATGTACATCTACGTATGTCGCATATGTATGTATGTATGTATGTATGTATGTATGTATGTATGCCTGCATGCATGCATGCATGCATGCATGCATGCATGCATGCATGGATGTATGTATGCGCTTCATGCATTTATACGGCGGAGGTGGGTGACTCAGGTGAAGGTATCATGACTGGCGTTGACTTGAGACGAGTAGAGCAGGTGCCGAAGTTCATACTGTGGCAGTTGGCATACGAGTCTAGAAAGGGTTAACCAAAGTTCATGGAGCATGCGCTCTCTTCATATCGGAAACCCTGAACCCCAACTCCTGCACCTTATCCGCCCGGCCCCGGAAGCTTGGATCTTTAAGTCCTCTACAAGGCTCCACGATGTGGGCGTCCTTGCTTTGCAGTTTAGGGTTTAGGGTTTGGGGCTTTAGGGTTTAGGGCTTTAGGGTTTTAGGCTTTGGGGCTTTAGGGTTTAGGGTTTGGGGCTTTAGGGCTTTAGGGTCTAGGCTTGATGGCTCAAGGCTAAGGTGGCGAGATGCGGCCGGCCCGTGCGAGAAATGTGAACTGGCGTCGCTTCGACGCGCAGAGCTGAGCTCACGTAGCCACAGGCAAAACCAACCTTTTCGGCAGTTAGGGTTTAGGGTTTAGGGTTTTGGGGACGTCGGGATCGAAGAGAGGAGCCCTGATGTAGATCCATACCCTATTTATACATCCCCTCTCTTTCAGGGCCTGGACATCTCAGGATTCGAATTCTTCGAATTCTCAAGAAAGGGGTGGGGTCTACGGTCTACATCAAACCTTATCGGTTCAGGTTTTACCGGCACGGGGCTATAGAGGGAGTCGAGTTCGGGACGTGTGGAGTGGTCTTTACTGGGACCTTTGTTTCAGAATGACTGGTCGCACACCTGTCCTTTTATCGTGGCGTTCGTGTAACATTGGGGGTTCCTTGTAATAAAAAATACGATAATTTAATGGACCCCGAAACCCTGTTCCAATTACTAAAACACCTAAAGAATATAATAGCCCTTATAGAACCCTTTTAAGGAACTCTGTAAAGGAACCCCCAAAAACCTTCTTCTAGTTAGTAAGGCCCCTAAACCCTTTAAGGAACAATCGTTAGAATAGGGTTTTGGGGGTTCCTTAAAAGGTTTTAGGTTTGGGGGCCTTCATAATTAGAATAGGGTGGTGGGGTCCTTTAATTATAGTCTAATTAATTATTTAAGGATCCCCCAACGTGGTATGGGTAGTTATTATTTAGGCCCGTATATTAGATTAGAGTGCTCTTCGCGTAGAAAGGAATTCCCAGAAACACTCTTGCTCGCAGACCAAGGCTTAGAGGCAAGACTTGTAGGATGGTGGGCCAGGGGTGCAGCAGGCAGTGGGTCCCGATGCTTTCCCGTCACATTCTAGGATAAGGATTGGGATCACCGTGGGAAGTGGCGACGGCTAGGTAAGAGGATGCAAGCAATGTGGCATGAGCGCCTCAGGAGATACATCAATCAGAAGCCAGGGTACCTCCGAACAAACCCTAAACCCGAAAAAGTTGCGCCTCACTTCCCACAGACTATGATGTGAGCTAAAGATCCCAAACACGATACAAACACCGAAATCCCAAAACTCTGAACCCGTAACACTGAAGCGCTAAAACTAAAACCATCCTCAAACTCTAAACCCTGAACTCAAAAAACATCCTCAAACTCTAAACCCTAAACCCTGAACCCGAAAAAATATCCTCAAACTCTAAACCCTAAACCTAAAAACACCTCGAACCCTAGACCCTAGAGCCCTAGAGCCTCACGCCCTTCACCCGAACCCACCACAACAAACCCGACAACTGAGAGTCGCACTTCCCACCGTACCACTTACTTCGGGCATAGTAGTAGAAGAAGTCTGCGTAGAGCACCTGTCTTCGGATTTAGGGTTTAGGGTTTAGGGTCTAGGGCCTATCAACGAATCGTGTCAATTGAAGCTTGGGGCAGGGGTTTTGGGTCAAGCTGTGCAGTGTTGAGTGGGACGGATCCTTCCTGCATCCTACAAACCCGGCCCCAGCAACCCAGAGCGTTGTGCCATGACCCTTGAGCACCTCTGCTGAAAGACCTGAAGCTTCAAAGGTTCCAACAACCCTGGGACCTCCGAAAAATGTCGAAGTGCACCTACAACCCCCCTCGAAACCTTAAAATCCTAAGCCAATCCCTTGTTTGGACAAAGGAAAAGCCTGGCCTGCTAGATCCTGAGCGTTGGTTCTTCTCTCCATCCATCCATACATGATCATACAAGATACAGATGTGTATATGCGCATATATATATATACAAGTAAATATCTATAAAGGAATAAGTAAACAAATACATAAACATATATATATATATAGATGATACATACTTGTACATACGCATGGGTATATGTAGGTATGCACATGTGTGCGTACACCTGTGCATACCTTGCAGCACCGCAGGCGGCACTATGAATGCACATAGCAGCCCCCTAATTTGGAACGTCAGACGAGCGACAGTCTGCACCAGTCCGCCCACCCAGCCGACCCAGTTGACGTAGTCATCAGCCTTACACAGCGGGTTTAGCGCTTCCTTCTGGCAGCTGCCCTAGGAGCCACGATGCCGCAATACTAGTTCCCGATTGATGCCTGAAGCAGTCAATACCCATGCTGACATGATGCATCCTCGAACTGGCGACGTCAAAGCGTGCAGGTCAGAGAGCATGTCAAGTTCTATGGGTCATAAAAATCTGTCTCGGTCGGCAATTAACTTGAAAACGTGTTGCAACACGGGAAGTGCCTCTATAGTACCGAGCCTTTACGAAAAGAGGCCAGCCGCCTTCTGAACCACTCTGAATATCCGATGTGCGCTTGTTTTCTTGGCTACAGGAGCCTAGGAGAACCTTCTTGTCAAAAAGAAGGCACCCGAAAGTAGGTGATTCAACGAAAGGGGCTACCGCAAACCGTAAACCTAAATGGGTATGCCCTGATTCCCAAACGGGGCTGCAATTTGCGGTCCAAACTCGAAAGGAAGGGCACGCTTATACCCCCGAAAGGCGGTACCTTGCATCAAGCAGGATCGTCTGCATATTACGGTGGACTGAATGATTAGAATAGGATTTTGGACATAGCTATAATAAGGAACACTGAGGAACAATAGTATTGACATAATTAGAATAGGATTTGGGGATATGGTAGACTCTAAATGTATTTACAAATAAATAAATAACTTTATATATACACACACACATACTAAATGAACAAATGCAAATGTGTATAATATGTATATATATATATATGTGTATATATATATATATATATACATATGTATATATATATATATTCATTTATTTATAGATGATGATGATGATGATGGTCATGATCATCATGAGGACTGGTGTTCAAATTGAAGGCGGGCTCTAGGTTCGGGAAAACCCTGCCATGCCCTGAGCACCAGGCAAAGTAGCGGTAGATCCAGTTGAGGATGTAGAAGGCCCTGTACCTGGCTTTCAAGACGCTTTGTCTGCCCCGCTTTGAGTCACCATCTGGTACGACTAGCTCGGGGGTCCCGGTCAAGTCCTAAACCCCAAACCCCAGTATACTCCCCAAAATCCAAACCCTAAACCCTAAACCCCAGCATATTCCCTATACCCATACCCCAAACCCTAAACCCCTAAACTAGTGGTTCCGGATTTGGGATGATGCTTGGAAGTCTTGTCCAAAGACCATTGGGGTAGTTCTCTAAATCAGGATCTACGGCACGCTAATAAAAGGGACACTAATGTAGGAGCCTTAATAATTAGAATAGGGTGTTGGGGTCCTTTATAGTATAGTTATAATATCTGGACCCCCCCAAAATAGTATGGGTAATGATCATAAGGCCTATTAATTTAGAGAACCACGTATGGGCAGAAAGACTGAGATCTTCGTAGGGGCCCAGAGAAGAGCCGACAAAACACAGCAGAGTTGAATGCCACGCAGACCCTTAATGTGAAGCTTTTTCGTTGGTTAAGCCGTTTTTTTCGAGGATCGTCGAAAGCTTCGAAGCTGCGAACCGAAATGCTCGAAGATACTACAACACAGGGTCTAGCTAGGGCGACAGCAGCTCAAGCGGCTGCGAACGGTAGCCTGCGAAGGTCTCATCTCCCCTTTCACGGAAAGGTGTTATAGGGTTTATAGCCAGTGTCGGGGTCTTAGAAGAGGGTTTTGAGATATACTATATTTGAACTATAATAAGGACCCCCCCCAATATTCAATGTAGTATAGGTAACTATCTAGGCTTCTATATTAGGGTTCGGGGTTCAGGGAGAGGGGTTGAGGGTCAGGGCTCCCTTGTCTCACGGCTTACTGTAGGGACCTTAAGAATTAGAATAGGGTTTGCGGGGCCCTTCATAGTACAATTATACTAAGAACGCCCCCCAAATAATACAGGTAACTAATTATTTAGGCCCCTACATTAGCAGGGTTTATAGGGTTTAGGATATCGAAGGTCACGCTCCCATGGTGGCAACGAACTGGGACGTCAGATTTTCAACCTGCCAAGAATGCGGGCTTCCAGGACATTGGGTGTTCCTTGTTTGGGGGGTCTTCGTATATAGAGGATCCGAATATCTATACTCTTTTGGGGGCTCCCTGCGTCTCTGAAACTCCCATGTCAAGTTGCTATGGGTTTAGGGCGGTTTAGGGTTAGTTTCTATGGGTTTCGGGGTTTGGGGCGGGTTAGGGTTAGTCAGTTTCTATGGGTTTAGGGTTTAGGACTTTGATTGGGACTTAGGGCGATTTAGGGTTAGTTTCTATGAGTTTAGGGTTTGGCGGTTTCGACCTGGTTTCTCTGGGTTCAGGGTTTAGGACTTAGGGCGATTTAGGGTTAGTTTCTATGGGTATAGGGTTTAGGGTTTGGGGCGGTTTAGGGTTAGTCTCTATGGTTTAGGGCTTAGGGTTCGGGGGTGTCGGGCTAGTTTCTATGGGTTTAGGGTTTAGGGTTTGGGGCGGTTTAGGATTCGTTTCGATGCCGGTATTGCCAACCTTTTTGCTCGTCTGCAACAGGACAGGGTCATAAGGTTTAGAAACAACGACGAAGATGCTGGGTGTAGAGCCCACAACCCCTCTACCCTGAATGACAAGCCAACCCTCCCCCCAAACAAAAGTGCAAAACGAAGCCATCATGAACGAAAATCACCGAACAAACGGGACCCTAAACCCTAAACCCTAAACCCTTAACCCTTGAACACCGCAAAGATAGCAAACACGGCTAGACCTCCCGCATCTGCTGCAGCAGGACCAGCTGCGGCACGATTGCCACAGACTCCAACCAAATCGATGTGGTCCACAGGATCTGTGTGGGAGTTTAACATATTATAGGGTCTAGGGTTTAGGTTTTTTGGTTCACAGGATCTGGCACGGGTGTTTAACATATTATAGGGGAAAAATTCCCCTATAATATGTTTGGTCCACAGGATCTGGCACGGGAGTTTCTAGGATCGCTGAGGGCTTTGGGGGTTGAGGTCTAGGGTTTGGGAGGGAGAAAAGGATGCACGTGTGTGCGTTCAGGTCTCACATGTACTCCTACAGGAAGCCTGACAAACATGGCCAGACATAAGGTATACACATGTTGAGACATCAATGAATCAAGATGCAGAGCTCCTTATGAATGCCTGACTTGGCCTGTCCCGTGGATGCCGATGCACCGTCTGTTTCTCATAAAAAGTGCACCAGGTAATTATGCAAGCCTTGGCTTTTCGAGCTTCAAAATGTTGCTCGTTTGGTTGCAAGTTCCCACACACATAAGCGAACAAAGTGCGCTTAGAAACAACAGCAGTCAGAGCAGTGACAGTAGTAGTGGAAACCCTGGAATATTTTCAAACATCCTCAAGCAAGCGGAGCAGTGCTTTTATGCGAATTTCTGGCGGTGGTAATAGTACTAGCAGCAGAAGAAGTAGCAGCAGCAGTATCAGCAGCAGTAACACTTGCCGTCGTCGGCGTCGTCGTAGAGAGACAGTGACAATGAACATTGGAACGGTCAAACAATGGACAACAATAACAGCGACAGGAGAGCAGCAATCGACTGCGAGTCATAATGATTATAAGTAGGCTAAGAATTTGAACCGGGAGCTGCAACACTAATCATCATCATCATCATCATCATCGTCATCATCGACATCAACATCATCATGATCATCATCATCATGATCATCATCATCATCGTCATCATCATCGTCATCATCATGAGCAATCAAAGGAACGCGACAAAGTTTCTCTGACAAAAACTCTGTTCACAACACAGGAAAACCTAACGATACACAGGCTAGTCGCGGTACAAGACTCACGGTCCCTTTTGTGGCAAATGTTTCAACCTGTCAAAATTTATATACGAAAGAACCACAAGAACCAACACATTTCGCTTTGGCAACATCAAACCCAATAACCGAAGCAACATGATCACGACCACGCCTCCGGGATGGTGTACTCTTCTGTGCACAGGATGCCCAGGAGCAGGCAAGGCCCCAGGAGGTAAATCTCATACTGGAACTTGTCTGTACTCCTCCACATGTCTTTCCGTACCGCTTAAGGGCTACAGGTCTTGAAAGCTGGCGTCTGTGGTTCGAAGTATAACTTCGGTGCTTTGGGGGAGCTTGATCGAAGACGTATGGACTCAGCGGATCCAGTCTTCAGACCCGGTTGGCGATACTTGGGCCGGGTGGGTTAGAGTTGTTTAAGGGTTTAGGGTTTAGGTACGAAGTAGGGGTTTGTTGTAGGCTGCACTGCACCGCCAGCTTACTTGGAGAAACTACGCAAGCCTTTGAGCTCAACGCCCTAACTGGAAGGGTTCTTTTTTGAATATCCTGAACTTTGCCAGCTGTGCAGAAACGATGTAGCTGGCAATGTACAGAATCAGAGTATATAACACTACAATATGTATATATATATATACACATATATGATATATACACGCTCATGAATAAATAAATATATATACATATATATATATATATACATACATACATACATACATACATACATACATACATATATATATATATATATTGTGTATATATAGTGTATATATATATATAGTGTATATGTATGTGTATGTGTATATATATATATATATATACGAAAATATATGCTTTAATACATAATCTACTATATTACCATGGTATACTACAATACCGTAGAGAGCGAGCAGGCCTCTCGTAAGTCTGGGAAATCGGCGGCTTCACCCGCATCAGGTAAATCAAATAGATCCTGAGCAGGGCCGGCTGGGGTGTTTTAATGGCTGGGTTTAGGGTTTAGTTTTTT